GGTCCCTGATGGCTTTGGCATTGGGTATGCTGTTCATGACAACTGGATAGGCTGCAACGTCTCCTCTTACCCAGGGCGCAATCCCCGGGAGTTCCTCCAGTGTGTCCATAAGTCTTTAGAAGACATGTTTGATGCCTTAGAAGGCAAATCCATCAAAACATAGCTTCTAGGTGGGCGGATCTCTGTTGCTTCCTCATCATGAAAATGGGAGTCCATATGACCCACAGGTGCTGTTCTGTGCCTAACAAAACTAACCACGAGTGCCTGAGCAGCAGCACTGCAGGCTGGAGCTGAAAGATCATGGTTTTAAAGCTAGACATTGCTGAGTGGGACTAGAACATGACTGAAGATAAGGAGAAAGTTCAGTTTTAAAGCCTTTTGATCAGGAGATAGGGTTTGGAAAAATAACTCGGATGTATTTATTGGTTAAGCCAAAATAAAATGTATCTGTGGCTTGGAGATGGTTCCTCTTTTTCTTTTCCTAAACTAAATTTTCTAATCTCCATGAAGAACTTTCCAATAGGAAGTGTAGGTAGCAGTAAGCTTCCATCTGTGTCTTTCCTAAGGAGTGAACTCTTCTGTGTAGTTCTGGCAGGCCTGCTGACATGAGGACTGTGCCCAGAGCTTTGAGGACTGGTTAGTTTCACTCTTTTCCAGCAAAAGGAACGGGTGTGTGTTAACCATTTGAAGCTATCCGTTAATTATGGCTTTAGGTAGCAGACAGTACTGTCTACACATTCTGAAGCCTCTCTATTGAGTGAAATGACCATAGAATTTTGTTTCCTCTCTAGTTTATTGTTGTGTTGCTGTAAAATTAAAGGAAGGGTGTTTTTGTATTAGTTTTTGCAAAGTAAGGAGTCTGTTTGTATTTATACTTACTGTATCCCCAGTGGCTGAGTTACTAATATAGCTGGGGTTTGAATTCTGGTATTGGTCCATCACAATCACTTTTAATGCATTCCCTCATCCAGCCCCCTGTACAATTCCTGCAGTGTAGAGACGTTACAAAGATTAGCTCTGATAGCATAGGTAAAGCACCTGGCACATACATGAAACTCTATGTTCTGTTACCACTTTATGATGGCTATGGCTTCTTGTTCTCTAGTGAAGTACTGGCCTTACCTGAAGAGTGACTGTTCATTGTATCAACTCTGTAGACCAACACCTGAACTGAATATTGCAGGGCTGAAAAAGTTATACTTAACACAAACTTTCAGGGTGAATGTATTAGGGAGTAATACCTTGGGTGTATTCTGGCCAATCAGTGCTCAAGAGTCCTCTTTATGGCTCTCCCATGTGCTTCCTTCATGTACTGGATTCATGTGATGAGGATTCCAGAATGAAGCTAGGATAGCAAAGACACTTAACTAAAGCCTCAACTGACTTGGAGTTCACACATACCTTGCAGGTTTGTGTAGAAGTCTTTTTTAATCCCCTGTGCATGGACTGGTTTGATCTTGTCATCTATGGAATGGGAAGAAATTATTTTGTCCAACTTTACATGGGCTGGGGGGTGCTCAGCTGAAAACACTTAAGTGCAGTAACTTGCTCTGTTCCCTTTCTATCATGTTCCTGTCTGTCTAGGTTTCTAGTAATCACAATCTCCACCAGCTGGCCTCACAGCTCAGGAGAGTACTCAGCTGGTGCCTGCTGCTCCCCTGGAGCAGCCCATTCCAGAGGCAGCTCTTCAGGAAGTCATCAGGCTTTGTCCAGGTGGCTTTCCCTGTAACCTCTAAACAGGTATTGCACACTGCTAGACCCACAGCCCACCAGCCTCTCAGAAGACTAATGGCTTCTCTTCAAGGCTAGGACTCTCAAATGGAAGTTGGTATATATCATGTGGCTTATGTCTTAAACAAGCCCAGACAGCTTTATTGATGTATATTTCACATACCTGAGTCTCCTTATTTAAAGTGCATGTATAGCTAAATAACCATCCATACAATTAGAACATTATCTGATTTTCTCCCAGAAAGAAATCCCATAGTCATTAATCTTTTCTCCCAATCTTCTAACTTCTACCTGACAGGATACTGCTGTCCTGGAGGGGGTCCCAAGGAAGTACCTTTTATTCATCACTTAAGTACATGTATCTAGGCCTCGTGATAAAGGGCAGAGTCCAGACAAGCAGCCATTTGGACACAGAGGATGGTGCCCTCATTTTTCAAGTGGAGAAAATGAGGCTGATAGAGAAGGCATCTGCCTAGGGTTTGCTGAGCCCAGGAATATTCTATTCCAATATAGTATAGCACGGAAGCATACTCACCCTTGAAGTAGATTTTTGTATGTAGAGTAGGGTTCCAACATTATTTTGTTGTACCAAGTTAGTAATTGCCCAGCACTATTTACCAATGAATTAATAAAGAACCCACTGATCTGAAACACCATGTTATTAATAATTTTTCATATACAAATCTACTCTCATTGGCATAATTGTGGTGACAGCACCAATACGCTATAGGGCTGTTGTTTTACTGGCATAGTATGATATGTGGTAGGTGATGTCTCCCACTTGTGTGAAAGTTTCTTTGACTTTCTTCAAAGTTGCTATTTCTATTGCAATTTAATAAATACAAATTTGTTGAAAATGACCATCTATATATCAAGTCTTTGCATCCACCAGCAATAAGTAGGTCTTGTTGGGCAAGGTGGCTCACTTATAATTGCAGCTACTTGAGAGGTACAGATCAGAAAGACTGCAGTTTAAGGATAGTCTGGGAAAAAAACTTAGGCCCTCCCATCTCAACAAATACTAGGTGCCAGGACTTTCCCTGGGCAAAAACACACTATTTTATCTGAAAAACAAGTAAAAGAGGACTACGAACTTGGCTTAAGTGGTATAGCACCTACCTAACAAGTGCAAGGCCCCCAGTACTGCCAAAAAAGGTTAACATTATAAATCTAAAACTTTAGGACCTCTCATGAGAGCTTAATAGTTTTCTCCGTTAAACTAATAATCTCTTTGGTTAATATCTAGTAGTTTGGGGAACTATACACATTTGGAAGTGGGTCAGCACCCCATTAGTGAGCTACAGTGCTAGTGTAACTGTTGATTACATTTATACATGGTATTTCCTCTTGAATTGTAATTTGCTTATGAGTACTATATTGAAGCAATTTGATTTCTATATATTGATCTTAAATCTAGCACTTGCTAATGTTTTTGGACTTTAATGGAGAAGCATAATCTGTAAAATACTGGGTCTTTTTTTTTAATCCTTTCATCTTCGTTTTTAATTGTATTTTCACACCAGTGTGCCCTCCAGTGCAATGAACAGCAGTGATCCAAGGCATTCCCATTTTCCCAATCTTGGAGCACATATGGTTTTTGGTGTTTTTTTGTTTTTTGCTTGAACTCAGGGCCTCGGCTGTCCATGAGCCTCTCTGTGCTCAAGGCTAGCACATTCACTTAAGCCATGGTGCCACTTCTGACTTTTTCTGAGTAGTTTATTGGAAATAAGAGTCTCATGGATTTTCCTGCCCAGGCTGGCTTTAAATTGCGATCCTTAGATCTCAACCTCTTGAGTAGCTAGGATTACAGGTGTGAGCTACAAGCGAGCGTTGGGCTACATCTAGTTTTCCATCATTTACAAAGCATAGCACTTGCTCTAGGCTATCTGCCTTTTGCTCCCATACACACAATTGCTAGACAGGCTCTGTACCACTTGAGCCACACCTCCAGCCTCTTTGTCTTGGTTATTTTCAAGCTTTCACTTTATGAATAGGCTGAGATTCTCCTACTTGTGTATATGCACCACCTCTCTTAGCCATTGGTTGAGATGGTGTCTCTGGAACTTCAATCCCCAGTGGGCCACAAGCTTTAATCTCTTGAGCTCTGCCTTTTTTTTTTTTCCTTCTTGAGATTGGTTCCTGCTATGTAGAGGCAAGAGGCAAGATCATTTTGCCTCTATTGCTCAAGTGCTGAGATTACAAATGTGTGCCACCACACTCAGCAATAAATACCTTCTTTGAGGGAGAGTCACCCCCTTTATTTCCTAGCTTGCTAAGATTTGTCTATACTTCATTTCTAAATGGGAACTGAATTTTACTGAGCGCCTTTTCTGCAGTCTATTTTGTTTTCCTTTATTCTGTGAATGACTACTTAGGTTTCCCTACTTTCTGAAATAATTTACAGTATAATTTAAAAATACAGAAAACCTTGAGATCCCTTTAGAGTTTAATTTATGAACATAACATACATTGGCTAGTACTGTTCAGTGATTTAAAACAAGAAAGGTTTCTTCCTCAGCCTGGAGTTTCCTAAATTATTTGTTTCCAGGCAAAGCAGTGGACTGGACCCAGTGGAGGGTGAAGGACTCGTGGGGAGAAGACTGAGGAAGCTCTGCTGTGAGATGAAGAAAAACTTAGAAATGTGGCTGCTGGACTTGAAAGAGGGCAATGCAGACACCTCAAATCTTTGGATACACTAGCTTTGTCTGAAACTGGAGGACCCCTTGCTGAAATCTCACAGCCAGCTTAGGGGTGGGCAGACTTTTCCCATTCTCAAAAAGTATGAAACCAGCTGGGCACCAGTCATTCACACTTATAATCCTAGTTACCCGGGAGGCTGAGAACTGGGGATCACAGTTCAAAGCCAGCACAGGAAGATGAATCTGAGAGACTCCAATTAATCAGCAAAAAGTCAGAAGTGGCTCAAGTGGTAGAACGCTAGGCTTGAGCAAAAAATCCAAGATCAAGAAACTCTTTTCAGGGGGCTGGGAAGGTTGCTCAGTGGTAGAGCGCTTGCCTTGCATGCTGAAGGCCCTGGGTTCGATTCCTCAGCACCACATAAGCAAAAAGAAAAAAGCCAGAAGTGGCACTGTGGCTCAAGTGGTAGAGCGCTAGCCTTGAGCTGAAGAGCTGAGGGACAGCGCCCAGGCCCAGAGTTCAGGCCCCACGACCGGACTCCCCCCCCCCCAAAAAAAAACAAAAAAAAACAAAAAAAAAAAACAACTCTTTTCAAGACTCAGTACTGGCATATAAACATATACACACATACACATGAAGCAAAGGTATAATGTTTATTTCCAAAGAATTCTAGGCTCTGTTGGCTATGGTGGTATACACTGTAATCCCAGTATTTGAGAGACGGAGGCAGATGGGTTGTGAATTAGAGGCCTGCCTGAGCTATATAGCAGGACTCAGCCTCCCTCAAAAAAAAAAAGTCTTCAGCAGAACCCAACACTTTCCAAACAGCAGCTCCCTGGTTTCTCACTGCAGCAAACAACTTTGTTTTACTGTGTGAAGATCTCAGGCCTATAAGATATGAGGGTCTTGACTGATATCTTCACCACTCACTCCAAGAGCGAAGGAAGTTTTTCTATCTTTGTTGCCCCTGGCTCTGATGCCTTTTATCCTCTGGGTTGACCTGCTCCTAGATCAAGAGCCCGAGAGCCCTTAGAAGCTGTGTATTCCTATGTATTTTGCAAATTCTATCAGTCACAGGTTTTTAAACTGTGGAAAGGCAAAGACCTTCAGGGTACATAGTTATTTGTCGAGGGCATGGCTGCTCCTTTGCTCTATCTTCATGCACCACGGGGACTTAGTGAGGGCTTCACTGGTGGGATCTGGGAACCATGACAAAGCCCGGCATGTGGATTGGGAGGACTTAATGCAACTACCAGGGCGCAAGGAACCGAGGGACTAGGCTCTGGGTGTTGCTGCCTGGGCACTTGGTCTCTTCGCAGTTCTTAGGGACAAGTGTGCAGGAAGCATTCAGCACTTGAGAAACTGGTGGGTGACCTCATAGATCCCCACTGACTCCTGAGACTTTTCATCGTAGTCAGTCCAGTCCTATGGGGTAAGAGGGCAGAGTTAGCCTCTCAAAGCAGGAAAGCACAGTGGGGTGGACAATTGGGACTCATGAGGCCCAGCATGGTCTCAGCTATTTGTGAACACGCATGACCCTTGGCAGAGCTAGACCGCTCAGGCCTGAGCTCCAGCATGGTCAGTTTGTAACCACAGACAAGTCATGTCACTCCTTGAAGCCTCAGTTCTATCCTTTATTTAAAAAAAAATAAAATATGAGGGAGGTGGGGCAAAAATGGACCTCAGACTGAATATTAATGACTTGAATGAGGAAAACACGTGGTAAAGCAGTGCTACAAAGAGAAGCTTAGTAAATGCCAGTTCCTGTTGTTACTGAATGCTATGCAAACACAACCCAGCTGTCCTTTTTCCTTTCAAGGCCAGATCAAAACACTTCTACATACAGGGCAGAACATGTCCATACCACTGATGATCACTTGTTAAGCTCTACCACAAAAACTAAATTAGCAACTACTTGTGCCAATGCCATGGGTAATGCAAGATTAGGTTCCCGTGAGCTGGTCACAAGATTTTCATCAACTCATCAATTAATAATTGTTGACTTTTATTTCTTAATATTTAAAGATACCTTGTTTAAAGTTACAGAAACAGCCTAGATGCCCTGCAATAGATGAGTGGGTCAAAAAAAAGTGTGGTACCTATGCACAATGGAATTCTACACAGCTATAGAATAATATATGTCATTTGCAGGGAAATGGTGGACTTAGAACCAACTGAACCAACTGAGGTAAGCCGAGCTTAGAGAGACAAATGGCACATGTTATCGCTCATATGTGGGAGCTAGATTAAAATACATCAGGACATAATAAATCATATAGGACTACAGGCATTCATATACAGTTAGACCAAAGGAGGATACTCTTAGGGGAGAAACATAAAGGTGCAGTGCCTATGTACCTCTGATTGTATAAAGTGATATTTATCAAAATGAACTCCAAGAAATGGAAACAAGAGGTTAAAAAATTGTTTTTGTTTTCTTTTTGTCTTGTTCAGTTCATTATCTGTCTTTGGGAGGGAGAACACAGAACTGGAAGGACAAAGGGTGAGTAAACACAGCAGTGGTACTCACTAGACATATAGACAACTTGTGGGTGGGGACGGGAGGGGAAAACTGGGAGACAGTGAAGAAAGGGGTGACACTGTCCAAAAAGAAATGTACTCACTACCTGACTTATGAAATGGTAAGCCCTCTGTACATCACTTTTATTTTATTGTAGTAAAGGTGATGCACAGAGAGGGGTTATAGTTACATAAGTCAGGTAATGAGTACATTTCTTTTTCTGTTTGAACAGTGTTACCCCTCCCCTCACTTTCTACCATTCCCCCTGCCCCCATACATGTCTTTTATAATAACAATTTTTAAAAAAGAATAGATTAAAAAAAGATACGTTGTTTAAAAGGGCTGGGGATGTAGCTTTGTGGTAGAGTTTGCCTAATATGTGCTAAGGTCCTTGGTTTGAATCTTAGCACTACAACCCCCCCCCAAAAAAATCCACTGTAATTATATACGTATATATCAATATCAATATCTACATGACTCATTAACAATGAGCTCACAGCCAACAGCACTGTAACTCCTACCTGAACAAAGCTTACAGAACACATACTTCATGTCAGGCACACTGAACTTTCCTGTGCTTACCAACCTGAAGAGCACTTCAGCACTACACTGGGGACCATGAAAAGGGCAAAATCACCAATGCATAGCACAAAGATGCCAGCTCTCCACTGATAAGCCTTGTTCACCAAAAGGGTAAGTCCCACCAGGTACCTTACCCAGAAAGCACTCTATGCCCAGGGTCATTTACCAAGTCAGGGATAATAAGAAAGAGTACCTCACTACTGCCTTCTGGTATCACCTCCCCCCAGGGTCCTTGGTCTCATACCTTCTCCTGCAGATTAATGTCATTGAAGACTGTTCCTGACTCCATACCCTCAGCAGCAAAGCCAGCCTGTAGGAGACAAGAAGGCAGCAGTTAGGCTGGGGGAAAAGTAGCACCAGGCTGGCATATGCTCATTGTGTGGGGAGCTGGGTTTTCCAGCAAAGCCTTTGCCACAAAGGACAGAGATACAGGGTGGGCAGCTGTTCTAGAATGACTTCCAAGACTTGGATGCTGCCTTGGGACTGCATTAGATTGTCCAAATTACAGCCCCAGACCAGAAGGCAGAAGTGGGGTAACCTCTGCCACTACTCAGACTTGTTGAAGGGCTCTGGAAATAGTGTTCCTCTTCCTGGACCTGCATTACCTTATTGATGAAATGGGGATGCCAAGGTCATTTCTGCCTTATCCCATAGACTTGATGGGAGGTGAATGTTGCACAAATAAGAAGAAAACACTGGCTTGGAGTCAGACCAAGCTGGGTTCAAATTATAGCACACTGCTTACTAACTGTAAAGCTGAGCAAGCAGTAAAACCTCTATGGTCCTTCCTTATCTGACAAACAGAATAGATCCCTTCAGCATTACAGAGAGGATTAAGTGGTGTTACATGTAAAAGTGACAGGAATGGTGCCCAGCATATAGTAGGCACTTAATAGTTGACAATTACTTTTCCTAGGAAGAAATTCAGGGCTGGTGTGTAGTTCAGTGGCACAGCGTTTGCCTAGCATCATGCACAAGGCCTTGGGTTAAATCCTCAGGGTGGGAGGGGGGAGAAAGAAAGGAGAAGTCCTAGTCCAGTTTCTTTTGGAAGCAAAGTTCTGCTGTCTCTCTACACATCCTCTCTAGACAGGAAACACACCCACCTGGGGCTGGAAGTCAACTGGTTCAAGGCCCCGGCACTCAAACTCTACTATTGTCTTGAATTTCTCATTGTCTTCTGCCTAGAAAGGAAGTATATTGAGGAGATAGGCTCAAGTGGGCCCTCACGATGACCCTGTGACTACTATGCTTCCTGCCATTTGGGACTGGGATCAGGAACAACTCATTCCCTTCTGAAGCACTGTTCCCTACAAGACTTTCTGCAGACATGGCTGCTGCAGAAGAGTGTGGATTGTGGGGTCTGTACGAACATGAGGCTGGGCTGGGCTCTGCCTGGCTTTCTCCTCTGAGTGTAAGATTTCTAAACTGTCAATAGGAGCTAAGAAACCTCTACAGGTTTATTGTGAGAATCTGGAACATACATAGAAGCCAGCACAGGTCCCCACTCTGTGCTTGATAAATGGGAGATAAAATTTATAATATCAAAAATATAAGAAAGTGTTAAGCTATGAAACCTCCAGATTCTCTGAGCTCAGCCAAAGTCAAACATTTATATTTCTCCTCTCCCTCTCCTTACCCTTTCTGTCTCTTACTCTCCCCAAAGCAGGGTCTTGCGATGTAGCCCAGGCTGACCTTGAACTCCAGATCCTCCTGCCTCAGCCTTCTGACTGCCTACACCACCATGATTAGTTAGCCATAGCCTTTTGCTAACCATAGACTTCTTTAAGGGAGCCCTGAAGGCCTTTGGAATGGGATGTGTGTGGAGGGCATTTCTTGGAGGGGTGAGTAGTCAGGAAGTTCACGCCTGCTTACCAACGTGCTCAGAGGTCACCCAAGTGCCATACATCCATTCACTCTTGTTCTGTATTCACTACAAAATCAGGTACTGTACTTCAACCAAGTGTCGAGTACTTGGTTTGTCTTTCGTTGGTTGTTCTTTACCTTCTACTACATTCTGACTGACTTTAGGGCAGGCCCTCATTTAATTTCTCTCTTTAGGGGGCTGGAAGATGGCTCAGTGATAAGAGTGCTTGCCTTGCATGCATAAGGCCCTGGGTTTTATTCCTCAGCACCACATAAGCAAAAAGAAAAAAGCCAGTCTTAGTGCTGAGTTTATGTATAGTATTTTGTTGAGGTTTGGTTTTCACCCAACATATGACCTTTGCGTTAAAAGCTTGCAGCCTGTTCGAGGCTGCAGATCTTTGTAATTGGCCTTTTGCAGTCCACTGGCTCTACAATAAAGACTCCAAAATTTGACCTCCCAACAAAAAAAAAAAAAGAAAAAAGCCAGAAGTGGCGCTGTGGCTCAAGTGATAGAGCACTAGCCTTGAGCTGAAGAGCTGAGGGTCAATGCCCAGGCCCAGAGTTCAGGCCCCACGACCAGAAAAAAAAAAAAAAGTCTCAGAATTTCCTGCCCAGGCTGGCTTTGAAATGTGATCCTCAGATCTCAGCCTCCACAGTAACTAGGATTACATGTGTGAGCTACCAGTGTCTGCCTAAAATTCAGATATTTTAAATAAACAGCTAACAAGGAATGGGTGAATACAAATAACTGCTCTTTAAATAGACCCCTGCCTTTGAGTTTGCTATATAGTGATACCTAACTAATAATAGTATTGGTACTCTCCAGGAAGTATGCACCAAGAGACAGTCCCAACCAGGGTTTCACTGAATGAAGATAAGGGAGATGCTCTCAGCCATGGAAATATTGGCTACCTTGGGCTAGAGGCCCCTTGAGCCCAGCACTTCTATAAAAGCACTAAAATAGCATTAAGTGAATATTAAATAAAATGATAGACTGAGCAAATGAACCATTAAGTAAATTAAATAATGTGCAAGGCATGGCAGTACACACTTGTAATCACAGCATTTGGGACCATGAGAAAAGAAGACTGAGTTCACGGACTGCCTGGGCTACATAATAAGACCTGCCTAAAATAAACAAACAAACAAAAGGTTTAAAAAATAACACAAGTGACAATATCCTATGGCAGATCGTTCTAATACAGCAGTTGTCTCTAGAACTCAGGTCTCCTGGCCCTCATTTTAGTGTTAACCCACCATAGCAACAAACTTACATTGTAAGACTTGATAGTGCTGCTCAAAATCTCTGAAACATAAAAAGAAGACAGGGTTAACCTGAATCCTTGCTTTGGCCACACCCAAGTACCCAGATGTGGCCTTGGGTAAGAGAGATAGCCATATGTAAGCTTTAGTATCTCAGACCTGAGTCCACCCTGCTTTCAGTCTGGCACCAGGAAGCTGTGGGCCAGCCTGGCATAATTCAGTAATCACAGTCAGACCTACCAATGGAGTTTTCCCGAGCACACAGCTTGCACTTCTGGACCATGGAGGCACTACCACGGCCTCCCTTCAGGGCCACACTGTCCTGGCAAGAAGCAAACAGAACCTCTAGTCACACGTCAAGTAATCACAGAAACCTCAGGAGATCCCAACCCATCATTTATTACCAAATCGAAGAGATCAAGATACAGAGGTAAGTGACTTGCTAAGGACAGAAATCCTGGGGATTGGGATTGGGGATGTGGCTCAGTGGTAGAGCACATGTTTATGACCTGCAAACCCCTCTATTGAAACTCCAGGGAACATTTAAAAAAAAAAATCTTGGGAAGGCTTCCTGAGAAGGAGAAAAGGTCTTTCTCTTAATTGGGAACTCTGCCCAACATCCCACAGGTATGTTGTTTACCATGTTGATCAGTGATACCTGCCCCTCAAACCACAAGAAATGAGGTCCAGGGGACTGGAGAGATGAGAACCAGTTTCCCCAAATCCCCACCTAGAGGGTTTTTTGGGGGGGGCTGGGGGGATGACAGGGTAGAAGGACAGTTACCATCAGCCGGATGTATTGCCACTTCTCTGAAACCTCACCACAGTTGCCGCATTTCATCTTGGGGAAAAGAAGGGTATTAGTAAAGCAGCTGGCTTCGTTGGGGAGACACTGAGGGCAGGATAAGGACAATGGGAAGCAGGCAGAAGCCTACTGTACCTTCTTGTTGTCACTTACTTCACATTTACAATCAGCCCCCACAAGGACATCTGACTTATCTCCAGGCATGGCAAACGTCACTGTTCTTTTTTTTTTTTTTTTTGGTCGGTTGTGGGGCTTGAACTCTGGGCCTGGGCGCTGTCCCTCAGCTCTTCAGCTCAAGGCTAGCGCTCTACCACTTGAGCCACAGCGCCACTTCCCGCTTTTTTTCCTGCTTATGTGGTGCTGAGGAATCGAACCCAGGGCCTCAAGCATGCAAGGTGAGCGCTCTACCACTGAGCCACCTTCCCAGCCTGAGTCACTGTTCTTATGTGTTCTATCTGGCTGAGGATTCAAGGCTTATGCAGTACTGAAAGGGCCTAAACAGGACCCTTACTCTAGCTAAGTTGCCTGGTTAAGAGCTTTCAGTTAGTCCCTGACTTAATTATTCATCACTGCTGCTCCTTCACAGACTATCTAACTGAAGAAAAAAGAAATTGACTCCCAAATAAACCTTGGAACTCAGGCTTCAAAATATTTGGAATAAAAGTGGTCAAGGGTAACTTCCTGAAATATAAGAGCTTTTGATGGGTGTGGGGGGATGCTGAGATTTAGACTAAGGTACAAAGCAGAACTTCTGGGATCTAGGACAGAGAAGGATCTTACACTATTCAGAAGAGGGCCCTGGCAGACTGTGTCACTGGAGTACCGGGCTTTCCAGTATGAGGAAGGGAAATAAGGGTGGGTCATGCACAAAATAAAAAACCAGATCAACCAATTAAGAGAGCTGAATTTATTCACATTAAATAGTTGCAAAGTCTCTTTGAGAAGCATTTTGGTGTCTGTTTACACATCACGAAATAGTTACATAGGGGGGGAAATATGAGTTCCAGGGCTTTTGGTTAAAGATTAACCAATAAATCTAATATTCTGGCCAGAAAAAAAAAAAATCGGAACATTTGTTACATGAAATATTTCCCAATCTTAAGGCCCTGAAGGCTGGGGGGGGGGGGGGGGGGCACTGCCGCCGGATGTCCCGCCTCACCTTCAGGTACCACCGGAAGTCCTCGCCCACCGGCCGCAGATTGGTGACATTTTCCAGCGAGGCCTTGAGCTGCAGCGCGATTTTCTGAGGGGAGGAGTTCCAGTCTGACCACCCCGCCCCTCCCACCCGGGCTCGGCCTTCCTCCCTCTCAACGCCAGCCCCCCTCTACTCTTCATTCCCCCACCCCGCGGTGAGCTCGACATCCTCGCCATCCCTCCAGCCCGGCTGCCCCGGGAAGCGGGCCGCCTCCTCCTGTCTTCCCCTTACCCCCATGTTGTTCAGGCTGTACGCGGCTGCTTTCCGGCCAGTCGTAAAAAGCGGGCGCCGTCGCTGCCTGCACTGCCTCAGTGAGGGGGCGGGGCCCGGGAGGGAAGGGGCGGGGCCTGGGAGGAGAGGGGAGGGGCCTGGGAGGAGAGGGGAGGGGCCTGGGAGGAGAGGGGCGAGGCCTTTCCTCCTGAGCAAACTCTAGGCTGCTTTTACCTCGCGGGTATCCGGGTCCTGCCGGCCAGCCAGCCGGTTTTTTTTTCTGCCCCGCCCGGGTTAGGTGAGCGGATGTCCGTACTAGACCGCCCGGTTCCTGCCTCCCAAGTCCGCAATGCCACAGATGTTTACTGAACCCCGATTTTGTGCCAGCACAAGACAACCCCTGCCGGAAACCTCCGCCAGGTCTCCTGTTCTTTCCTACTATTCTGCCTGCTCAGAGGCTTCTCTGATCTCTTGGGTTTCGCTGCCCAGGGCCGCCAGGAAGGTTTGGGTGGGTCAGCTCTTTGCTTTGCTTCTCTTCGGGATGCTGCCCCCACTCTGGGCCATGCCCTTCAGCTGTCACCTTCTGAGGCCACACTGTGAATACCACGTGGAGGCACAGCCTACTTGAGTCTCGCAGCCTGTGTCGATTAAGATTTGGAGTGACTTCATGTCTGCTTTGCCACCAGGTTGCCCTGTAGCTCCTAAGTAGACCGCACAGGAGACGCGCTGGTCAGGCGGGATCCTTGATGTCAGATGCAGGCTGCCCCTAGCTTGTCCGGGGCAACAGAGTGGAGCGGGAAAGGAATTGCTTTAGAACACCTGAGCCCTTGTCCAGAGCTGGACTGTCTCTAGCCAACCAGCTACTTGCCTAAAGAAAACACAAATTTTTTAAAGAAAAACAAAATTTTTCTATTGTTCTTGTAGGGTTGTGTTTGTCTTTGCTTTTGGGTTGTCTTTTGGGGGGGGCACGGAGGGTGAACAAATGTAGCACGGTACAGTATTTAATATGTACTATGTAAAAGATAAGCTATGCAACTTGTGGGCAGGGATGGGAGGGGAAAACTGGGGGAAAATGAAGGGGTGACATTGTCCAAAAAGAATTGTACTCATTACCTACTTATGGTATGGTAACCCCTCTGTATAACATCCTACAGATGTATCAGTGTGAAATCCTCACACTGTATGTATTGCTCTGTTCTTAGTGACTTATATAGATATTTCTACACTACTTTTAAAAACCCAAGTACTATTTTACCCCTAAAAAAAAGCCAACAGTATTTGGTTGGGAAGATAGCTCAGTTGTAGAGTGCTTGCCTAGCATGTGCAATGTAAGATCCCACAGCACAAAGAGGGAGAGAGGGAGTTAAAAGTATTTCATTAAAATGTTCAGATATACATTTTCATGATATTGATATACATTTCCTCATCATGATCCACACATTACGTAATTGTTCTGTGATGCTGAGGTAAAATCTAGTGCCTTATATATGTTGGGCAAGTGTTCTACTACTGGGATAAACCCCAGCAACTAATGACTTTCAGGTCTCCTTTTTATAGGTTCTGTTTCCCTTGTTTATTTAGGAAATTGAATGACCTGCCCTGGAATTTTCTCTGAACATTACTGACTTGATTATTTTTTTTTGTCATGGGGCTTGAACTCTGGGCCTGGGCACTGTCTCTGAGCTCTTCAGCTCAAGGCGAGAGCTATACCACTTGAGCCACAGCGCCACTTCCAGTTTTCTGGTGGTTAGTTGTGAAATAAGAGCCTCAAGGATGTTCCTGTCCCAGCTGGCTTTGAACCATGATCCTCAGATCTCAGCGTCCTGAGTAACTAGGATTACAGGTGTGAGCCACCAGCACCTGGCCTGATTTTATTTTAAAATGTAGGATTTTTCTATTATTCTTGTAAGTGGTAGTTTTGGGACAGAGGGTTATTTTTTGTTGTTGTTGTTGGGCTTGAACTCAGGGTAGATGCTATCCCTGAGCTTTTCCTTTCTTTTTTTTTTTTTTTTGGGGGGGGGGGGGTCTGGTCGTGGGGCCTGAACTCTGGGCCTGGGCGCTGTCCCTCAGCTCTTCAGCTCAAGGCTAGCGCTCTACCACTTGAGCCACAGCGCCACTTCCGGCTTTTTTCTTTTTGCTTATGTGGTGCTGAGGAATCAAACCCAGGGCCTCATGCATGCAAGACAAGTGTTCTACCACTGAGCCACCTTCCCAGCCCCATCCCTGAACTTTTTCATTCAAGGCTAGTACCCTACCACTGAGCCACAGCTCTACTTCTGGTTTTCTGGTGGTTAACTGGAATAAAGAGTCTCATGGACTTTCCTGCCCAGGCTGGTTTTGAACCATGGATCCTTATTCGAACCACCGTGACCCTCAGAGCTCAGCCTCCTGAATCCTAGGATTACTGACATAAGCCACCAGTGCCTGGCTTCTGGTTAGATTTATTTTTGGTAAAAATTCACAGCATGTAGGTTTTCACACATATAGGTCTTTAGAAAGCAACAAATTTAATTTCATCACGTATTTATTAAAGACAATCATTTATAGTCTATAAAAAAAATTTGCCCAATATACACAAAATTTCCTGATAATGGTAATTAGAAAGAACTACTCCCCTCCACCAGGTCCACACCAATATTCAGTCTAGATTGGTTTAATCTTGAAGTGTAACCCAATAAGACTGAAGACCAAACACTTCAGGTCCTGAACAAGATAATAAAATACTCGTAAGCCTTCTGGATCTCTAAAACATAAAGGAAAAAAAGAGTTTAGAGAGCTGTAAAACTGGAAGAAAAGAAAAAAAAAACAAAACAACCATTTATTATCTACCAAAATGTTCCCTATCAAGGTGTATAAACTGCATTAAAACTTTGATCAAACTAATGTCCATAAAGAAGGAAAAGGTCACATATTAACAGAAACTGATCATGGTAGTCACACCTGTAATCTCAGCTATTTTGGAGATGGAGACAGAATGATTAATCATGGTTCCAGGTTAATCAGGTAGAAGTTAGGGAGATCTTAGGTAAAAAGGTAAAAACAAAAGGGCTCAGAAAGCATGAAACCCTGGGCTCAACCCCCCAGTATTATCAAAATAAATAAATAAATACATAAATAAATACCTTGAGGTCAGTTAAACATTTGTAATGGGGAAATAAAAAGGAAAAAGCTAGGGGCTGGGAAGATGGCTCAGTGGTAGAGCGCTTGCGTTGCATGCCTGAGGCCCTGGGTTCGATTCCTCAGCACCACATAAGCAAAATGAAAAAAGCCGGAAGTGGCGCTGTGGCTTGAGCTGAAGAGCTGAGGGACAGCGCCCAGGCCCAGAGTTCAGGCCCCACAACCGGACCCAAAAAAAAAAATTATAAAAAATAAAAAAAGGAAAAAGCTAGTGATAAAAAAAATTAAAATCTCAATTTGTATTTTTTTGTGCTTTTTGTTAAAACACTTTTTGCCAGCACTATGGCTTTCTTGCTTACTGCTGGTGCTTTATCACTTTAACTTGATGGAGTCTAGTGAACTTTTCTGAGATCCCCTAGATCTCAGCTTCCTCTGTGTATGTGTATGTTTGTTTTTGAGACTGTCTCAAAATATAGTTCAAGTCCAAGTTGGCCCTGAATCTTCTGCTTTAGCCTCTGGCCTCCAGTCATTTATAGTTATGACAACTAAACTTCTGCTTTGACCTCCTAAGATTGCATGCATTTCCACAATGTCCAGCTCCTATATATTTTTTAATGCAGAGGAAAAAAAATATACTAACAAAACATTGTCTAATTGACAAAAAAAGCAAATCTTTCAGGTCTATTTTTCTGTATTTCCTACAATAAGCATGTATTACTTGTGAGATTCAGGGAAAAATGCCTACCAACTTTAAAGCAAACTATTGCTTACTCCAAATCCTTAAAACACAGGAGTCAAAGAGACTGCCAAGTTCTAAGGACTCTTTATGGTACAGAGATTCATGTCTCAATTTTATGATTTACCCCACTGAATTGTATACTTTAGTTGCTTGGCCAATATTTCATCTACTGTTCTGTCTGCTCCTATGTGACTCTCTTGTGTCACTGACAAGTTTTTAGTCACCATGACTGAATGAAACCTAAACATAAAAGCAGCAACTTTGAATATTCATAGCAACAATCAATGGACTTTCCCTATATGGGTAAAAATCTTATGTCTATGATGGCCCATCATAGTGAACACACCTAGACTTTTTTGTCATTATGCCCTAAACAATGTAGTTTAACAACTATTTACACAGCATATTGTATTAGGTATTCTAAATAATCTAGAGATGATTTAAAGAAAACACGGTACTGTTTTCTGAGACTTGAGTGACCACAAACTTGGTCTGAGGGGTTCTTAGAACCAATTCCCTGTGGCTACTGATGTACAACAACAATTTGGAGTCCCTTTCTGAAGAGGGGGAAAATTCTGCCCACTTCTGTTTTGCATTTGCACCACATCTTCCTATAATGGGCTGGTCCAAGTTGGCTGAGAGTTTCTTAGCAATCTGCTCTAAAACAGTCAAATCTGATATAAGGATCATATATACTTACTTGGATTGATTGACATCAATAAGAGAACCAATTTTTGATGTTGTGAAAGAAATGTGCTCATCTCCAATGACGATCTCAAGCTCCTAGAAACAGTAATAAAAAAAAAATCTACGTTGGGCAGAAATAAATCATTCATTAGGGGAGAAAGACTCATTTGTTACCCAAACTCTATTATAGATAGCCCCAAAAGCAAGGGCAGCTTACTAAAAGCATTAAATTATTGAGCACTAGAAATAAAGACAACACTGTTTAGCCCTTGAGAAGATCAGCCTCTCAGGGCTCCAAGACCTCTGAGATTTATAAAAATTTACACACAGTTTTGCATATGTGTTTTCATTGTAAGCAAGGAAGATAGATTTCTTTTAAAAATATCAAAGGATCCAACCTTTCTTGGCAACATGGGACAAAGGAAATGATTCCAGACACTGAGTTTGATCCCAACTCTGCCACTTATTAGCTGTATGATTTGGGTGGAGTCTTAATTTCTAAGTAGTTAGAGAAGCCCAACAAACCTTCAAAAAAGTCCCTGGGGTACCTGCTGGGCCATGTAT